TATCATGCAAAATGGCATGCATCTTCTCAATGTAGTCGGACCTATCCATCAGCACTCAACCCGACCCTATATCCGGCCGAGTTAGCACAGTGACAGGATTAAATCTTAATTCCTATACATCCTTCCGATGCTCACGAGTGATCATTTCCGAGAATTGTGGCTATTAGCTCAGGTACTGCAGAGAAAGGTGCACCAAAGTGCTTTTGAAAGTGTGTTTGGCGAGGGCAGACGTGCACCGCAAGAAGAGGTTTACCTCCAAGTCCCTCTCAAAGGAGATATCGCTTTCGACTTAATGAATAGGAAACTATCACTGGAGGTGAGCAAAACATATCCGGCCGCCATAGTTCATATATTTGCTGAAACTGTTCCGCTCATCACCCAATGCCTCAAAGATAGAATCCCGGCTCGTTCCGAAGCTTTTGTTCTATATCAATTCACCTGCAACTGTGGTGCGAGGTACCTCGGGCACACGATCAGGCGTCTATCTAGGCGGATAGCGGAGCACTACCCTGCTTCTTTGCAACATGGTGTGGTTAAGAATGTCCGCAGCTCGACCCTCGAACATCTGCTTAGTACCGGCCATCAGATTCGGACTAATGCCGCATACAAGGTAGTCTACACGGCACCGAGGCACAACCCCAAATGAATCAGAAAGCGCTTGTTGACCACGGTTGAAGGCATTGCAACCAGAATACTTCAGCCGGATTTGTGCAAGCAGAGAAGACTGATACAATCCATACTGTTGCCGTGGTCGTAATGTTGGACCGCGGTCACGACTGAGAGTGACCACTGTAGACCTGCCGGCCAACGCGTCTGTGCTTTGTGCGTGTGTGCGTCTTCGCGTGTGCTCGCGCGACTCATGACGTCTGACTGTATCGAGTAGACCATTGATCGATTTCGTTGAGTTAACCAATCACATCCCCAGCGTTCGCTTACCTGTCACGTTTATGTCTTGTAATTGTATTTACCTGAAGTGAATTGCCGAAAAGAGTTCTCTTCGCGTGTTATGTTACTAACAGAAGAATTTACTAGAATGTGGCTTGCTAATAGAACGCGTTACAGGTATTGATGCTACCAACTATTACTCGTAGTAACAGAGGTTCATCTACGTATTGAGATGATGGATTTTGCGAAAGGGGTGAAAGACTATACCATTTTACACGCATGTTAGCGGATTGTACCAAGCTTTTAGCGTGGCACATTTTCGAAATCGCGTGCAGTGCTTTCAAGTTAGCGAGGCTAAGTACGCTGTTTTGGCTTCGTTGACACTCTCATTGGTCATGGGACGTTAACCAATGGGACACTGGTTGGAAGCCCACAGCATAAGCGATAGACAGTTCAATGAAAGTTGTCGAGCACCACCTTCTGTTCTATTTTGATGCCTATCTGAATGAAACCTTGCTTACTTGAAAGCACTGCACGCGATTTTGAAAATGTGCCACGCTAAAAGCTTGGTACAATGCGCTAACATGTGTGTAACACGGTGTAATTGGAAGAACGTTCTATCGGAGTGTGCAGTTCATTACAGCTTAGCCGTTTTTCTCCTAGGCTTGTCTACCATTTAACTATTCGCTAATGCGTTCTGGGGTATTTGAACATATCACTATCACTGCCTTGTGGTTGCTTAGTAACCGCCTGTTCCGTGGTTCAATGCACGCGGAGAATTGTCGTGTGGGAGAGTTTGTCTTATGCGCAATACAAGCCAAAGCAAAACTGCTTATGTGCAGGGCCGTTAGTCACACAGTCTGTAGAAGTCAAATATTGCTGCCCAGTCAATAACGGACGCTGTGGTGGTGTCTGCGCAATTTACGCATTACTCTTAATGCGTCGTAGCATTTCATGAGACTCGGTGTTACGCACTGGCAACACAGCACTCCATGAACCTGATTTCACTCATCAGGCAGAGATAGCTGGACTGCAGCACTCGAACTCCGGGGTTTATTGGATGTCAGCCGAAACTACCTCTTCAGCCACCGAGTCGCGGCGGACAATGTTTGTCACAACAGTTAATGACTGACCGGAGAGGTCATTCTGAAGCACGCTATCTGTGAATATATTGCAACGCGTAGTCTTAATGTGGACCGCGATTCACTCCCAACTGGATTTCGGTCGATTCAGTTAGTGAAACCGCGTCTGAGGCAAATTAAGTTCCACGAGCAGGCAACATTCATCTTCTTCAGATGCGGTCCCACAGTTTATTTCATCCACCTTACCAGTACAGGCATCCTTATGTGATGCATTTTTCAGTTTTCCAGTTGTTCTGAAGTCTGCAATATAGCGTCTTGGTTAATTTATTGATTATCGTCAGCAGAGACACCTGTGTATTATCTGGATGGATTCGCTGACCAGCAGTTAATTGAGTAAGCAGATCTTCAGTGCTGGTTTTATGCTGTTCCATTTCGTCACAATTGATGAGAAAACCGACCTGTAGTTAGGCATCTTCATTGTTCAGCACAGTTTCCCGACAGTGGCAAGAAGCAGCTGCCTTATTTGTTTACAACATTAACAACACATGTGACAAATCACGTCTTGGTTGATCGGTGGAATGCCAAGCGCATCATCCGATCACGAAGTGACAAAAGTTGAAAGACTAACAAGCGTCAAGATAGAAGAAGCCCTTGCAGCAAAGCTTTCTGTTTGCATAATTCCGGTCGAATTATTCTAAACACGATCGCTTCGGCCGACCGTGAGATTTGCTTCCTAAGACCTTTAGTGTACCTTGACTGTACTACATATAATACTTGGAAGGCATCATCGGTCCTAATTCGGTGTCCGCTTTCCACCAGATATTCCAGGATGGAACTGTTGGGGCGACTGACGATGCCTTTCTGCAAAGCCGCCGGGCAGTGTTCCGCAATGCGTATAGACAGACGCCGGGTTGTGTGTCCTACGTACCTCGCACCACAAGCGCAGGTAAACTGATATAAGATGTAAGACTGGGACTGAACCGAAAGTCTGCCTATAACGCGTTGGGCCATAAAGGGAGCTGTTTCCGCAAGGAAATGTGGGCGTGCGGCCGGGAAAGTTCGAGCCACATCACTGGAAATTCCTCTGGTCAATAAGTTGTTACACACTTCGAATTCCGATAACTGTCTCATTTACAAAAAGTAACTATGCTGGACGGCCACGCTGCCAACAGTGGAAATGTAGCCCACCCAAAGACACGGTGACTTTTTGGTAATCCTGATGAAGCGCTTCTCCTTAGTGAACGAAAGCGATGTTACAGCCAAAAATGGCTTTGGCTCTTCTGCTTGTGTTGTCACCAGGCGTCACGGATATGCTTGGAGTGGACTACTACCTTTCACTGAGGCGGATAGATAGCGACATATGAGAGACTTGCTAATACGTCCTGAGAAACATCGTTGGCGAGCGATTTGAAAGGGTATGTAGAAATAAAGTGAGCTAACGATCTACGTCGATGATGAAAAAGTTCAAGCAGTGACTGAACGATTTTTTGAAAACCGGTACTCTTCGTAGTGGGAAAAGGCTTCTTCGGTGACTTTTAACCGAACACGCAGTTGATCTGAAAATGTTGTCAATAACATCGGTTGCGCAGACCTATTGAGAAACAGGACACTTTTCAGGTAGCTGGTATGGGACAACATGTTCACCTACAGGTCTTCAGTTGCTACTTAGTCTGTCTGCTGACATCGTGTCTGGGACGGTCTGTGAAGAAGCACACATAAGCCAACTAGGGGAAGAGGGTTGGAGCGCCTGGACATAATGGCGCGAACGCCCCTCTGTCGCTTAGTTAGGGTAAGATTCTAATTTAAGTTTTTGACATTAACAAGGGTCCACCGGCTACTGTTGGGCTTGAGAGTGGGTAGTAGCGTGACTACAGCAATGAAATGTGTCCCCATTGCAAATTTCAGGGATAGCCGATACCAGTGCATCAGAAGCAGGAAATTCGTATTGCACTTTGAGCCATCCCGAGATTTGCTTGTGGGTGGCGAATTTTCAGTTTAACTTTCCACATACACTTCATTGCAGTAGATTCACAGTCACATAGTCTTCTAAACATCAGGAGAAGCATCACGCGGCCGTTTCGCCCGAACGGGACTCGTCAGTTGTTCGCATAACGCGGATGAATGAAACATGAGTGCCTGTGTCTGAACAAACGCAATGTGATGCAGGATAGTTCATTTAGAGCCTGTGTTATAAATTGTCTATTGACAGCTACGACAATGACATGCTAGGTTAACTATGGGGGGCTCATTCCAACCAGAGACAATGCAATCGAAGGCGAGCTCAATTCGAAGTAGAGGGTTGTAAGAGGGTGGGCATGAACGCGAAAATAGTTCAAAAATGTTATTAGACTAGAAGATTCGCTCGTAGAGCTTCTAGATGCAATGTCGTACAGAGCTGTTATGAGAGGTGTCGTAGTTCTAGATCCAACTCTATCGTCGCCAACGTTCGCAATTCGCAGGGCTATGGAGCATAAGCATATGCATCGCAGTTAATTCGTAAGCCATGACGATCTACTGGGACTACTGACGTGTCCCACTAGGACGAAACGCCCACCTAGTCCTTGTCTGGATGACAGCAAGTCATCTGAGCTGGAATATGTATAAAAACTTGTCGCAAGATTATCACCGCGTTCATACAGACGTCTTGAGGTAAATAAGGGGCCTGTGCCTGATCAATATAACGCTAAGGTAAATCAATCAACCAACTGGCAAGGATTAGCGGATTTTAAAAAGGATTGAGGGATGTTAAAAATGCCTGATAGTCCTATAGACTGCGATACACAAATCCCTGAAGGAGTTCGTTAAGGCTGCGAGTGGGACGCAGTGGTGGACAGCGAACACCCCGGTTAACAATGAGTGCTAAAACGGGCCATGGAATGAATTTCGAGCAAGTGCTGTGGCGCTATGCCACCCGGAAAGTGGCACAAGGCTGTGCATACGACTGACACTACATTTACATCGGATGATATTAATATTCGCGTTTACACTAGACCCGCATGGCTTCTAAAGCAAAAAATTCATTTCGGAACCCACCTTTTCCAAGTAGTCAGGCTCCACTAATCCTTGGTGCATGCCATGCACATCTCCCTTTTGTGATGTCTCGTACGAGTGAGATTTTTTCGACACGTGAACCAAGCAGGAGAACTAAAGCATGTGAAAACAAGAGAAAAGATGCGGTGTGATTCGAAACTTCCACTTATCGAAGTGGACAACATAACACGTGGCCGCCAAAAACGGTAAGGGAGAAAGACTTGGTTCAAAATTGTGATGATATATAATCCAGACTTACGAGAGGTTTCACTTCATTTGTCGATGTGCTAACGGTGGTTCTTTCGCCATTTTCTGGAGCATAACTCAGATTCAGAATGGCTGTTCGCAGCTGCATCAGCTTTCCATCGTTCTGTTTCACGAAAGCTGCTATCCAGTTCTCCAGATAAGAAAGAATGTTGGAACAACTTTTGGCAAGCGCAAGCGTATCGCTCACATCAATGCCACACGAGCTATATTGGGTGATGGAATTGATCATAGAAGCCAGTTGGTGCCGAGCCGAGGTTATCATGGAGGAACAATGTGAGTCCGGAGCGGCCGTAGCATCTCCGTTTGGTGGCAGATCAGACGACATTTGGAGAGCATTGAGACACAGCTGTGCACGATCAAGTTGAGTCACCACATCGGTAAATCGATCCTGAAATGCACGCAGCAGACGGCGAGCTTCGATGCAGTCTGGGTTTGAGCAGCGACCAACGGTACGCTGAAATGGCATATCATTTGAGAAGGATGAAGTATCGGGGAATAAAACGCTAGAATAGCATTATGATCAAGAAAACCAAATTGACAGATTTTGCCTTGGTTAATAAAATACCTGTTCCCTTGTGCTCGGCTGTGAATATGCACAGTAAGACGGGTGACATTTGACCGAGCGTCGATGTAGTTATTGCTACAGAAATCTGAAATTACCGGTGTTTCAGATGAAACAAACAAAGGGATTTCCAGAACAAACTAGACAAAAGGCTCGTGTCGGAGAGTAGCTAAGTAAACTACACATATCGAGTGGGAGAAAATAGCTGCGATCGAATTTGCAAGAACTTCAGCAGCTTATCATTAGATGTTAGCTTTTGACAATATACACAAAGAGTAAACCAAAATCACGGGCTCTATACCCTGTAGCAAAGTAAGCAGTTCACTCTAATATATGTCGGTCTGATAAAGTGTATTTCCTGCGCAGTTTTGTCTAATGACCGGAATTGTACAAATAGACATCATCACATTGTGCGAACGGAACCAATGGGAATAGCCAAAGCCAAAAAGAAGCCGCAGGAATGTGGTTCTCAACGTTATGCAAGTGGAGGGTGGAATGGTTAGTGAGGCGCTGCGGTAGGCTTGTGTTCCGATTATCAGACCTTAGCACACTTTCAGGGGTATGAAGAGTGAGCTGTTTGCTTACTGTGCGTTTCCGGTAAACAGCACTCGAGCTGTGACTATGCGGTCACATTAGAAGCTGTTTGTGTAGTACAGTGTAAAGAATCACAGCGGGTGCTGTAAGTTGCAGTCGCGTAAGAGAGTGAGAAGCACATTGCAACGAACGGCTTTGGTGGTAAGAAAAAAACTGCATCCATGTTGAAATGCTCTTTGTAGTACGAATTTAAGTAGGACTAACCGAGTGGGTTGTGCACTCTCCTGGTGTTCCACGATCGGCCTGCTTCAACGAAAGGTTTTCTTCCTCTAAAAGGGACACTTTTTCTTTCAGTTGTGAGATAAGCGATTCAGCTTGCGCCAGTTCGGCTGACATTTTTTGATTCTCCTCATCTGCCTTTCGGTGCTCTTGTCTTGAGCGTTCTCGCATTTGCCAACTGAATTCATGGCAGCGCGACTCGGAGTACTCGCGCAGCATATCCTCATACAGAGCCTAAACAAGAATGGGAAAATGTGACACGTTTAGCACAGTCACTGAAGGGTACACTTTACCCACGTTTCATCCATCATGGGCATGCTCCCGGTTATGACTTTATGAATGAGGTCCACCGTCAAAGACTGTGTTGTACCAGTGCTAAGCAACCGCGCGGTATGAAGACAAATCAAAGGGAATGATCTGTATGTATCTGACAAGCTCCCTTGGTACGCTGTCAGGTGGATTTTTTAGGGACGAGACGATGTCACTCTAACATAATTATTTATGTCCCTCATCTCATCCCTTTCTGACTGAATAATAGACCAGTGTGAGGTACTGCACCTTAAAGTTGTTTGTCCAAATGCTAAAGTTGACGAGAAATAAGAATTATTAACGGTAAAACTGAGCGAAGTGTAGTCCAAAGTTACACAGCCCAGAGGAATAGGAGATTAGAGTTAGTTGGCAGTAAGTTAACACACAGAAGCAAAAGTTGCGATGAAGAAAATACTTCTGTCTTCGTATTGTTAGTAATGACGATAATGATGCTAAAAATGAAAGCTGTCGGTAGGGGAAGAAGAAATCTGTGTACGTTTTACGGAAAGTGCTCGTCGATCAGTTGCAAGTCGGATACAACGAGAAGCGTTCGCCCAGTAGGTGATCCAGGACGCGGTTGCAGTCACAGTGAATCGACTGTGTACTATGGTGCATGGTGCACTGCGTACTGGGTCACATCGTTACGAAAGCTGTTCTGTTGTGTTTAGATATTTCAGTGCGGTGAGCCGAATGCGTTTTACCACCTGGTTGCAAAAATCAACGGAAACATTGCAACACAAAGCGATTGTATCTATGTGAATCGACGCCTAACCTGGATCTTGTCTCGGGGACGAGATGAAAATTTGCGGGCACTACGCATTAGAAAGCATGAGAACAATGTGTCTCAAGTGGAACTTTCATGGACTGTCCGCATCAAAGACCAGTGGCATTTTCAAGGAGTGTGTCAAATTGAGTAGTTGGAGAAACAGGTAATCTATCATCACACTATTACCGCGTAGAGGCGTATAATCATAGATTCGAGTTCGGATGAAGATAATGAGCAGGGAAAATCTAACCACGACGCTTCCTGGCCACGTGGATGTCGAACGCGTTGTATAGAGTTAGATGACTACGAAGAGCAATCGCACAACAGGTCATGCGTACACACAGACAAGATTTACGGTCCTGAGGTTGAATCTCACCTGTAACCTGACGATGCCACGTTGTGCACTGGCCTCCGTGGATTGCAGAACGGAAATTCTATCTATCAGTGTTCTGCGTTCCGCCTCCAGCTGTCCAATACGCATCATTTGTTCTGCCAGGCGACTTCGATCGAGCTGTGCAGCCTCAGTCAGAGATGCATTCGTCGCCTCTGTTTTGATCAGCTGGAAAAAGGACACAAAAGCATGGTGTCGTAGATTTAGGACAGTGACTTCGTGGGTGTTGCTAAAGCCAGCTGATAAATGTAGTGGGTTCAAATTATCAGCTAGCTTATATGCGCTCTTGACACTAAAAGGTGGCGCCTCTTGAGATTTCAATCACAGAAAGTTTATGCTATCCAGCTGTGAAAAATGCTGCTGTATTATACAAAGCGGAGGGATTCCAGAGCATATAGAAGCAATCTGTAAATATTCCTCTACTGGAGTGATATGTTTGCAAGTTTATGAAGACTATTTGCTAATCTACAAGGGTTGGATGCAGCATGCGCAAGAATACAAACGGGAGCTTATATATATATATATATATATATATATATTTATATATATATATATGTCAAAGAAGTATGGTTATTCAGAATGGTAGAGCACACTGTAGGTACGAGGACATGAGAGGAAAACGAGCGATGTATAAGGAGATTCTCGCATCGTTTGAATTTCACGATCTCAGAGTCTCCAACCAGGGATACTCATTGATATTTCGTCTCCAACGCAGGAGCTCAGAACACTCAACAACAACAACCACTACTGATGCCGGAACCGTAACACCACGAGTCCAAATTGTCAGTTGGCTACCTTATTGCAGCTTCCGTATAACGGCAAGCGGAGGGCATACACTGAGGCAACTGTTGGTTATGAATATGAAGCAATTGTCAAAGTCGACCAAGCGTGCACAATGAGATTACGTAATGCGGAATCTGTACGCCGTATCGGCGCTTCACTGCCGTGCGACCATCACCAGTCGCACGGGGGCTGAGTATACCGCGATGACACTCACTCCTAAGCGTATTCGAACCCGCACCGCAAGATTACAAGCTCATTAACACAAGGCTACGGGCCGACTCTAGACTATGGGTAGAGTCTGGTCTACTCGAAAAGACATCGACGAAGATGATCATTACTAATGTGGTATTACCATCATACACTGTTTTCGAAAATCGTTTGTGAGAACCGCTCGTACCGTAGCATCGTAGAATCCGTCGACCATGGGGAGGCTGGTGTCTTAGCGAAGCCAAGAGTGACGAAGTTGGCGAACGCCACTTGGACCTTAAGAATTCATAAAATCTGTCAGTCAAATCACCAGTAATGAGATGGTTTCCCAAATAAACTGAATATTCAATCAAAACAAGCAGATAGTGCGAAGGTGAAAGTATGTGTTATTTCCGGCCAGTCTCCTGAGAGGAGCACATGCTTCGAAGAGAGGAGGACCATACCGAATTGTTAGACAGATGTCCTTAACTTACTAGGTACCTTCAGGAGGCCAAAAGAAATCCCAGATTAAAGCGATATCATCTACATATTCCACCTCAAGAGGTTGGTCTCCCGGAGGTGGTTAGAGGTCACTGGGCCCAGAGTTTCCAGAGAGATCTCCGAGGTATCGTTCCCAGTGCGGTTAGGCAAGTGAGGCTAGGCAAGCCTGTTTTACACCAATGGCGGCAATGAAGGGTGCGAAAGATGACCACATGCTTGATTATGACCAATGGTTGTAGAATGTGAACTAATAATCCTCAATAAGTGGTTCCCAGGTACCTTCCTGGCAGCCAAGATAAGTTTGGTTAGCACATTTAGAAAAACCACGATTGTTGGCCGATGGAACGTTAGACGGTGTTACAGTATTTGATGGGTAGTGAAGTTGTGATCAGTACGATCCCAAGTGGACGAAATCGTGTTCTCTATTCGCCTAAGTGTCACTGGAGTACCCGACAGAGCTTTTGAAGAAGGGAATGGTGCGGAACTTGGACACGGCACAGTTGAAACTAAACCTCTGATGGTTGGCCGGCCCCTGGCCGAAAGGACAAGGCGTCTACCTTGCAACACCGAGGCCGCGGGTTCTATCCTGTATAGTGACCGGGGAACCCGCGCGGTATCCTTAGTGCACGTACGACTAGTGGTGGCTGTGTGGCAGCGAATCGTCAGTACGGTGTATTGCTTATGCCTTCCACCTCTCTGATGGTGGGCAATTCGAGTTCATTACCTCCATGAAGGCCGGTACAAAGTCCGTTAAGCTACACTCGGATGAGACGTCTTTGATGGCCCAAATCTTTTGGATCAGAAAAGTCCATTCGTTGAAACTAGCCGGGTGTCAAGTTCGAAAAAAGTTACAACGCCCGTTGGAATAGGCATCAGCTGGTGTCGAAGTGGCCAAAAGCGGGCGCTAGTCGCCAGTTGAGAAGTACTTAGAAGTGTCCCACCCAAAGTAAAAACCGGCTTTAACGGCCGACTGGTTTCACAGAAAAGTTTACATTTCGTTTACGTGTTGTTTACCGTGGCACGGATCACAGAAGAAACCTGACGCTAGTTACCCCTCTCGATGGTACATTAAGTCTCCCAATTATTCATGAGAACCGATTTGAGCGCATCGCTAACAGTCATGTGAATTGACTTGTACTCAACACCAGCAGGTTTTGTCCAACGGCTTTCGAGAAGTTATACTGGGTAGAGACCCTGCGGTTTGCAGTATTGTTAATAAGATCCTAAACAGTAGTAAGGGATTAGTATTTGGCCTTCCGAATCTGCACCCGACGCCCATCGATTACTGAGAGTAAAGCATCCTCAAAGTTTTCAGCCACCACGTTCTGAAAGGTGATTAGGAAGTTTGATGCAGCAAATTCAGTAATTGGTTGGGACGATGTTGTTACCGCCAAAAAAAAACAAAATGGCTTTAACACACAAGGGTGCACAATCCGAAGGGAGATGAGAGTCTATAAGATAACCTAATCAACTGGTAGCAATGTCATCAAACTGTGTTCACAACCAGTCAAGTGATGATGAACATTGCAATGTCCGTGAAGGGTTTTCAAAGGAGCATGACGGCGAGTTTACGGTACAATCCATCTTCAAATGAATCCATACGGTAATACTTGTGGGTAATCGTCGATGCAAGGGAAAAATCAATGCTGACTACTTCAGTAGCCTAGCGCTGTTACCTAACGTCATACTCGAATTGTGAGCTGCTGACTGTGATCCAGTCAAGTGGCGCTAACTCTGCGCATGCAAATAACGCAATTCCCACACTGGTATGACCAGAAACTTTAGTAATAGTGTTTCCTTAGGAATTCAATCTGAACGTTTTGTTAAAAGCTTCAGACATCAAAAACTGTCGTGGGCCGAACGTGTAAACAAAAAACATCTACGAATGGAGCAGGAGTTGTGATTCAGTGTCCATAGACGTTCCAACGTAGAATGTAGCCAAGTCAAATTAAGAAAGGGCAGCAAAACTAAGCTTAGTAACAACCTGAGATAATGAACACTCGTTCTTTAAGTGCTCAGTGTTGTGGCTAGAACATTTATCCAAGGCAGAGTGCTATTGGAGGCCGGGAAATAGAGAAGTTGAACAACCGTAGAAGATGGCACCCGGTTGATGAGAGCAGATCGCCAATACATTGGTAAAGAACGCACCAAAAGCGTAAAGGTGGAAAGCGGTAATTCGTTGTTAAATTTGCGCAAAGTGGTTTGGGTATCAAGCTTCCCTGTTGTTCGGGCAAATGAGCTGTAATAAGCGACCCAACCGAGGGCTTTTGGTAAGTTGGGGGGATAACTGATGCATTCTGGCAACTGGTTCTCGAGGTTCGCATAGCACGAGTTTCGATTGGTGTAGAGCAGCTTGTGGTGCCCAATTAACCCTCCCAACACAGGAAAACGTGTGGTTCTTGTACCTGAATGGTGCTTGAATAACGTGTTGGCATAGAACCCAGAGACTATCGAGGTTGTTCATTTTCTTTCCGCTGTGCGCTCACCTCTCGTTGCAGAAGCGAGTGGTCATGAAGATGATACAGGCGCGAGTGGCTCCACCAGAGTGGCGAGCAAAAATACATGGGGTCACAAGTAGATGCATACAGCAGGGCGTATTACCAATTACGTCGAAAGGATGTGCGTCTGTATTGTATAACCCATAGATCACCAGATCGAATCTGCGAGCGACCTCGTAGTATCCCCGGTCCGCGCAAGACAGGCAATGGTCGCGCGGCAGTGAGACATAGATGTGGCGCCCCGGAGTACTATTGATGCCTTTCTACAACCAATTATAGGAACAAGTTAGACTGTGTCCTTGGTGGGGGGTAAGGGATTTATTGGTCCGAAAATTTTCTTGCAAATGACCTTGTCGTGCGAAACACGATTCCAATTTGCGAGGCAATCTAGCCATGAAACTCATTTGATAAAACATGTCTGGATTTCATTCAGTCAGCGAAGCTCATCGGACAAATAACTTATTGTTCGAGGTCATCCGCCAGGAGATAGAGTGACCGGAAAACAACGTGGTTGGCAAGTAGTAATAATAAGAAATCCCCAACAGTAGGTCTTTCAGCATGAAATATGTACAGTGGTACTTGCAATTTTAATTGCATGGTCACAATGGAAAAAACGTCCAGTTGGATGCTCTTGACTTAGAATGAAAACAAGCTGTGTTAGGAAAAAAAGTATGTTCACAAGTTTTGGTGGAAAGTCGCATTCGTTCCTACCGAACAGTACAGCACCTCTTAAGCCCAAGACCCCATAAACATGACTCGCAGTGGTGTGATCTAGTGAAACATATAGACCATTCGGGGTAGAAATGCCACGTACTGGTGCAATGCGAGGGTTATACGACGCAGTCACATGACTCCACCATGCATCCCGCCTACAAACAATAGAAGCTGGCCGGTTAAGATGGGCTTTGACCGGCCTCATTAGTTTCGTTTGCATGCGTGCAGTCTCCTTGCCTGCCGCTCATGTTGAAGGGTGTCCAGACGGTTCAATTGTGACAACACTGGATACACAAAGTTCATTGTAAACATTAAAACATGGCTTTAAGTGAAATGAAGCGATGATATTCATTCATCATAGTTAGTTCACAGTCAGATGGTCTTACACACATCCGACTAGACAACCGTTTCGTCCAATAGGGACTCGTCGTTGTATTAGTATCCAACACTTGATCAATATACGATTGGCAGTACCACAACATATTGTTAACAATACCAAAAAGGGAAAAACAGGGAGTCAGTGAAAATGGTAAGAAGGTTTAGTAGGACTCTTCATCATCAAGAACTGAATCTAGGATCTCTCGACGTCAACGGATCATGTCACTCGAACATGGCAAACGGTGCCAGACCATCGAAAATTACAGGCTAACTGCGCTACCATCACCAGGACTACTGTGAAGTGAAACTGCAGGTCGTGTAAAGACAACTCACCGAAGCTTGAAGCTCGACGATATTCTGAATATCGAAAGCGGCGCTCCCCGCGCCGTTCAGAGAAAAGCGGTTTGTGACGGACTCGCTCTGCGACCTTTGTAAGTCCATTGCTGCCAGCAAACGTCGTCTAAGTGCGGCCTCCGTTCGGCGAGTGGCCGACAAACTTACTTCGGCGGAACGAGATTCGGCCCGTGCACGAGTGAGTTCTTCCGCTAACTCGGTCAACCGGCTTTCTAAGTCGTTACGACGGCGTTCCGAGACCCCTAGCTTAGCTTCTAGAAGTTCATAATCTTCGCGTTCACGGAGCTCTTTGAACTTTGCTTCGAAACATTCCGGCGTCTTGTCTTCGGATTCTGAAAGAGGCCCAAAGACGCCCAACTCTAAATTACGATGTGCGAGCAATGCAACGGTAGAAAACATCAGGCATTTAACTAATGTCGCATTCAGCAACAGAGGCATTGGAATCCATTCTAAGCTTAAGGCAGGTTTATGACGGGACGATAAAAGGTGAAGGAAACATTTTTTCTTTCTTCTAAAACCGATAGGCGCAGACATTATTACTGAGTTGTGGTTACCCATGGATTGTAGCAGGACACTGCAAGTACAAACAATCGAAAATTCTTCTCTGTGCACACATAAGGACAACGGAGTTTGCAGAGGCAAAACCGATGCAACCATTGACGTAGTTCTTTCGATGATGTGTGGATCATAACATGGTTCATGACATGCAGGAGTCTGGAATAATGGCTTCAATTCACAAGGACATCATTTGTGGCGGGAAACCGTGTACCTGTTGGTCTTTCCTTATGTGGGAACAATCTCTCGCACCGTGGAGAAATAAAGGATTTATCTACTTAAGGGAACAGAGTAAAACCACTCTGTGACTCTCCTTTGTTTCTGTCCAAGATCATAAAACTCATCGCTCCAGAAACGTTGATGACGCATTTAGAAAACCTCAAACATTTCTGCTCCCGTATAGCATGGTTTTGTCGACGGCAATCGTTCACTACAAATCTGTTAATTGCATAGGGCAGTCAGCCGAACCTGGAGGGAAGTGAGTTGATTTATCTGGAGTTCTTAAAAGCATTCGAGCTAATGAATTACCGGATCTCCATTCCCCAGCTTCGGTATGCATCAGCGGAAATCGGCAGCTAGAGTTCAGAATCCTCTATCCGACCCCATTCAATTTGAATATGGCATGCTCAAAATAGATTTTGCGTAGGATATCAAGACATGGAGATGAAGTAACACGAACGCTGATTGGCAAATGACCTCTTGAGACCTAGCCGGTATACCGTTGGACATGGACAAGTGCAAAGTGCTCTGCTTTAGACACCAGGGTGCGTACTACAAGGCTCCTCTGTCGAATGTGACCTTGGGGTGATGGTCCCGTGTGATTTGGGCGAGTATAAGCGATCAGAAAAGCAACAAAAGCTACTAATCAACGCGTCAGACTCCTCAGAGAGGCTTCCGAACACTTGGATGCCTCTGTTTCCCCCCAAGTGTTCAGTGTTTGTAATCGTCCTCATATCGAAGACATACCTCATTCGACTAAAACACTCCCAAATGTCGAGCTTCAAAGTACACTACTGGAATGCGCATTCTTCCATACGAACAGAGGCTGAAATGCTTGTGTTCAGCGGATGTTACCATCGATTACGCGATGATTCAAAAATGGCAGAACTGATCAAGTGTGTCACTATTTGTCGGAGCTCAGCAGTAACACCCATCCGAGAGACCAACCTCGGAACTGACGCATCAGTATGGCTGTTTGAAACGGCGCAAGTTTCTTTTCTTCTAGCATATCTCACCTATGGAACGTACTCTCTGAATCAGTCGCTTACGTATCGATATTAGCCATAGATAAAAGGCGGCTGAAAGATTCACTCATCCAACCGCATTTCGCCATTAAGCACTACCGTTCGTTTCATTTCCGGGACAAAAGCCCTTGCTTCACCATCGGACACTTATTTGTGCAACTAAACAAGCTAGAAAGTAGAACTGTTGTCTAGCAAATACGTAAAGTAAACGGTTGGCTTCTTGCCGGAAAAGCACCGTCTGTCTTCTTTCGTCACCTTTTTGAAAATGCCGCCAGAGCGCCCAGCAGGACTAGCAGAACATGTGTTTCCCCATCTGTAATAAATCACACTGTCCATTGTACCACAGATCAAATGGGGAAGAATAGTTGAAAGGACTCACGCGTCGAGGCCGGCACGGTATGTTCACTCCCAACGGCCAGTGTGGAACCATTGTGTAGCCTGCAACATGGGGCCCAAAATAGTGGGATATAAAACACATCAATACCGAAGGGCAGGATGTAGATACCAACTATTCGGACTGCAACAATTCTCTGACTCATGTCTCTCCGCTTTAGTTAGCTATGAAATGCCAAAACTGTCCACTGGCTTACTCCACCTGCACAACGTTTGTGACAAAAACAATGATGCAATTCGAACACATCAGCCGATTGTTACGAAATCTCTGCGGAGTCATGTATCTCTACTCTGAAAATGGCCTCAGTAATGTGATATGAATGGGGCGGAATTTTTGAAACCGCTAGGGTCTGTACCTCGCGGTCGAGTGGCGCTACCGAATTACGCTCACAAAACTTGACTTGCGTCCTGTTAGTTTGGCTATTTGTCAAACAAACGACAACTCCCAAACCCGCTTGACTAAGTCGCGCCTGCCCACCGAATGATATTCAGTGTCATACTAAACTACTTTTTTCTTTGAGTCGGTTTAATGGAGCTACCTGGGTGATGCACTTTGACCAAGCGTCAGTATTCGTGGTAAGACAGCAGAGCAAAAGGTGACCATATGTCAAACGATGATATTCTGGAATAAAAACGGTCGCATCTGCTCGTCAAGTCAAAAGCACCTACGGGTAGCTACTCGTGGGGCTTGTCTTCTGAGGAAGGGGTTACGGAAAGGAAGCAGTATTCCCATGCATACGATTCTCTGCTGTCTCAGCTCGTATTCGCGCACTCATCTACAGTCAATGGTTTTGAGCAGTTGCGTATGGGTTTGAACAGCAGTTTCGTGGCGACACAGAAGGAAACTCAGGTAATGGCTGCGGATTTTGAGCTGTTCTCCGAGTTGAGTGATTATTGTGCAGACGTTTCGTTGCCTGACTAGGCAACATCATCAGTGCGGCTTCAGGGGCTTGGTTCGCAGTGCCTCGTAAGCGAGTTCAATGTCCAAGTGCTTATTGATTGAGTTCTGTTTTGTATGCCAGGCTTCAATGAACTCACGTGCTTGCCGGCTTTTAACCCTTCTGAGGATTGATGGTTTTCGGCATCCATATGCACTGACATTAGGGAGTTCTGATTGTGGCGACGAATGCCTAGGTTGTGTTCGTGTAGCCTTGTGCCCAGATTTCTTCCAGTCTGTCCCAGCGTAGAATGAAGCCTTTTGGGTACGAGTTCCGCTTGAGCAGTTTGAAGAGACGGTCTTCCTCTGCCCGTCTCAGCTGCGGTGTGCTACAATGGGTTTGTGCTCGGAACCCGTACCCAAAAGACTTCATTCTACGCTGCTTCACACCACAAAAGGTTGCTCGACACACCACGACAAATGCAACAGCTGAAAAGAGAACAACACCGCCCCATATCAACGGAATCTCTGAAATGGCAGCGAGGCTTTTACTGCCTTTTGGAGTCAAAGTTGCACACCAGCCAACGGAAACAATTCGCAGTAAACTCTTCAAAGTGAAAGAAACTTAGCAAAGAGGAAGAAATTGGTGTGATTTATAAGATCTGCTGCCGGAACTGCGACAAATACTACGTAGGACAGACTGGAAGAAAGCTTGGCACAAGGCTACACGAACACAACCTAGCCATTCGTCGCCACGATCAGAACTCCCTGATGTCAGTGTATATGGATGCCGAGAATCATCAATTCGACCTAGAGCATGCCAGTATCCTCGGAAGGGCTAAAAGCCGGCAAGCACGTGAGTTCATTGAAGCCTGGCATACAAAACAGAACTCAATCAATAAGCACTTGGACATTGAACTCGTTTACGAGACACTGCGAACCAGGCCGATGAAGCCGCACTGATGATGTTGCCTAGTCAGGCAACGAAACGTCTGCACAATAATCACTCAGCTCGGAGAACAGCTCAAAATCCGCATCCACACCTCGAGCTACGGATATTCTCATTTATTTCAAATCAAGTAATGGCTTAATGAACAATAACCAAGGGGAAATTAAATGTTCTCGGGCGTACTACTGGTAAAAACGTAAGGTTACAGAGTGGGAAGTGCAAGTAGTGATTGCAAATGTGGCAACGTAAAAACACCTGAGCAAATAGGAAGAGAAACACGTATAAACTGGGTCAAATAAAATAAAAGCAATGCTAATTGCGCAACGTGCCTGACGATAGACTTATAAGGAAGCAACACCGCCCAGAGACGCGTTCCGGAATCATCTAATCCCCTGAGAAATGCTTTAATCGATAGGAGATCAGACGTGCTCCATCAAGAGATAACGCCCACCGATTTTCATCGAATGCCATACCTCAGATATACCTAGTAAAAATGCAAATTCATGCGTTCCCTCATATATCGCCTAGGTTTGATGCAGAAGCATACATTTAAGCAACGTAGATAATGCATGAGAGAATGCGGGGTGCTGATATATATATATATATATATATATATATATATATATATATATATATATATATGGTATAAACAGCCCAGTAAATAGACATAGGGTCAAACAAAACTTTGAAATTAGCGGATGACATGTAGAGTCGCCGCATCATCTTCTTTACGCAACATTTGTTGAAGGTGAGCAACACACTTCAGCCATTGTGCCGCAAGAAGAACGGAAACTTTTTGTAATTTTTTCACACGCCATTTTTTTGTATTTCTTCAATTTTTTTAAATGTTAGGCGCTAACTATCTGAATTTAAACAAGTATGTACACAGATCCTCCACTGGTTTCGATTGCTTACAGCCATCGGCACTCTTCCTCCTTTGGTCTCCAAACCAGGCAGGCGTGTGGATCCAACGGCAACAAGACGTGAAGTCAACGATTTCGTATGTTGCCCCCAAATGGAAGGCTGACCACCACGCGGTCGCCTCCAGCCCGGTCCTGAACGAGCAAAAGAGCGCGGCGCGGCAAATGCTTAGACGCCATGTGTAGGATGTGACCGAGCCATCTCAACTGTCGCAGCAAAATCACCTTGTTGAAGGGGATAGTCGTATTCCCTAAGACACGAAGTCTGACTTCACGGTCGCAGATACGTTGTTGCCACCACACACGAGCAATCCTTCTGAAGCACCTGTTGTCGAAGGCCGAGAGCCGGCGCATGGCATCTACGCGAACTAGCCAAGACTCGTTTCCATAGAGCAACACCGCGCGAACCGTGGCATTGTAAACGTGACCCTTTACCAGGAAGGAAACATCCCGACGAGGCAACAAGTGTTTCAGGTTGACAAATGTCGACTGAGCTTTGGCGATGCGGAGGGAAACTTCCTTCTCAAAAGTGTCACCTGCAAACACATAGCTGCCCAGGTAAGCAAAGCTATCCACCTGTTCAAGCTGTGTGCCTACAATAGTGAGCACGAGAACGGGCGAGTGCCAATCCTGAAGCAGCACTTTACACTTCGTGGGGGCGAAGCGCATTCCATATGTAGATACCTCAATCTCCAAACGGTATAGAATGGTTTGCATACTCTGCGAGTCGTCACCAAGTAAGACGATGTCATCAACATAGTCTAAGTCGGTTGCTCGCTCGCTCGTTTGCTTACCCGATAGTAGCTGCAAGCCAAAACTCTGGTAATCTTCCATAGCTCTCGACCGGACGTCTTCAATCGCAAAATTGAAGAGGAACAGGGACACCGCTATTGACAAAGAAAGACGACGAAAGCTTGCCATGTACCCTCACTCTGCCGGAGATGTGGAGATAGAGTGCATACAGCAACGCCATAGTGCAGGTTCATCGACCGAGTCGAATGCAGCACGGATGTCTAAGAACGCAACAATGGTATGCTTTTGGTAGAGGTGGCGGTATTCGAGGATTTGGCGGAGCGTGGAGGTTTGATCCACACACCCATGACCAGAGCGGAAGCCAGCTTGTTCTTAACCGGTACTGTGATCCACGAACCGGAGAAAGTCAACGAAGTAGAATTGATGCCAATATCATGAAGGCCACCGAAATGAGACTGATCTTCAAGTGATTAGCACATGAAGTACGAGCACCCCCCTTAAAAATCGGGACAATATCTGATCCGCCACAGGAAGAAGGCACCTTTTCTTCATATCAGATTTTGGAGAGCAATGAGGTTAACTGGCTGATGATAACTGCGCCTCCATAGTTGAACATCTCCGAAAGAAGTCCGTCTGAGCCAGCAGCCTTGAATCGTTTCAAGTGTCGAATCGCAAGACGAACTTCGATTCGCTGGGTGGATCAAGTGTGACGACAAGGGGGCGGGAAGTTGGGTTAGCAGAGCATACAAGTGGACGGTGAGGGTCAATTGAACTGGGTATGAAAATTTTCGGCAATCGATCTAAGCGTCTCTGAAAGCTAGCAATCGGCGGACTGACAGCTTCGCAAACAGTCTCACTGTGACCAGTGGATCGAATGACCTAGAAGAGCTTGCAAGTATTGCCAGATATGGCAGCGGGCTCCCTTTCCGAAGCACGCTGAGAGCACCAGGTTTTGCGATCACTGCGTAGGCTAGTAGCAGTAGAGGCCCAGCAGTGACTGAGAACACATCGAACACAAGCTGTAAATTCTTCGATGTTGCTCGCTCCAAACACCGCACTCTACGACCGGTATTGTCCTTGTTCAGACTCGCTAGGTGGAAGAATTTGGACGTGGGAGTGGAACCCGAGATGAAGGCTAATCAATTCGGATATGGTCTTAGAGATCGGAAGGATTGTGGTCAACTCCGAAAGGATGTGAAGTGCCAACGGACATTGTGTGCTGCAATACAAGCACACCGCGGGTCCTGAAGGTTCTAACATTGAAGCCAGAAAGTCAGATACAAGCAGTAAGGGGTCAATGGACAAGCATATTTTTCAGGAGACTAGATAAGTTCATTATTTATGCCATATGACTCTGAATCCACAGTTTACCGTCGATCAACAACAAAAGTATCGTTTTCATTCCATCCAAGACATCTTCGGATCTAATGCCTACGTTTGTACCGTTTATTGCGGTGTCAGATTCGTGAGCATTATGTGTGCCACCCGCTGACAGCGTAACAGTTATCCTCTTTTGAACATGACTGCGAAATATTTTGAGACCTAC